AGATCAATGATGAAGAATATAACAAGATAAAATAATTTAATAACTGCGCAACAATGATCTACACAATTTAAAAATATAATCTTTCACATTTAGCCCGTGTACACACTCGTCACCTCGTGTACACGACTTTTAACACATTTTAATAATCATATCAATACCAATCCTAGGGCAAATTTCCCCACATAAGATTAGACAAGCCACTTACCTCGCCTTGCTCCAATTTAAACCAAGTATTATGCTTTTCCCTCGATTTTCCGACTTCGATCGACTCGTATCTAGTCATAATTAATTCGATACAGTCAACAAAAATTATAGGAATCAATTTCATAAGAAAATATTATATTTTTCAATAAAATCCGAAATTAGCTCAAAAATTGCCCGTGGGGCCCATGTCTCAAAATCCGGCGAAACTTACAAAATCCGACAACCCATTCAATTACGAGTCCAACCATACCAGTTTCACTCAAATCCGACTTCGAATCGACACCGAAATATCGAAAATTCGTTTCTATGAGATTTCTAAAATTTTCCCAAATTTCTATCTCAAAACACTAATTAAATAGTGAAAACAATGATATATTCATGTTTATTGACCAAATCCAAGTTAGAATCACTTAGCCCAATATTTTTCCTTGAAAATATATCAAAATCGCCTGTCCTCAAGCTCCAATTCGTCAAAAATGGCAAATGGGACGAAGTCCCCTGTTTTTATAACTTACAAATCTGTCAGAGAGCCCGATTTTGACAGCATTTCCAACAGAAAAATTGCAGCAGCTAAGTTCCACTTTTGATCCATTAACCATCCGAAACTCACCCGAGGCCCTCGGGACCTCAACCCAATATACCAATAAGTCCTAAAACATAATACAAACTTATTTGAAACCTCAAATCAAATTAAACAACGCTAAAATCACAAATCACACCTCAATTCAAACTTAATGAAACTCAAGAATTTCTAACTTCTACATTCGATGTCAAAACCTATCAAATCAAGTCCGATTGACCTCAAATTTTGCACACAAATCATAAATGACATAACAGAGCTGTGAAAATTTTCAAAATTGGATTCCGACCGCGATATCAAAAAGTCAACTCCCCGTTCAAACTTCCAAACTTAAATTTCTATTTTAGCCATTTCAAGCCTAATTTTACTACGGACTTCCAAATAAAATTTCGATCACGCTCCTAAGTTAAAAGTCACCATACAGTGTTGGAATCATCAAAATTCTATTTCGGGATCGTTTGCACATAATTCGATATCCGGTCACTATCTGAACTTAAACTTTTAATTTTTCATCAAAATTCCATATCTCGGGCTAGGGACCTCGGAATTTGATTTCCGGCATACGCCCAAATCTCAAATCACGATACGAACCTATCGGAACTGTCAAAACACTGATCAGAGTCCGTTTGCTCAAAATATTGACCAAAGTCAACTCAGTTGAGTTTTAAAACTCTAATTCATTATTAAATGGCTTATGTAATGGAACAAGATTGATATGTAGAGGCATTGACAACACCGTTTTGCATGCAGAAATTATGATAGGCCATTGTGCAACAAAGCATGTGTTTATTCCACGCATTCAGCTTTCACCCCCATAAAATGAAGGATATCCTTTCAAGTTCATTCAGAAGCAATTTCCAGTCCACCTTTGCTTTGCAATGACAATAATTGAAGCACAAGGCCAAACTATTCCCAATGCTGGCTTGTATTTACCCCAACTTGTTTTTTCGCATGGACAACTGTACGTTGCACTTTCAAGAGGATATCAATATTCACAACAAAAGTTCTCATCATGAGAGAGCAACCAACATGTCGAAGTGGAACATATACGAAGAACATCGTCTATAAGGAAGTGTTAGGTACGATACGAGCATATAACATATTTTAAACGAATAATATAAGTAATTAGATTATTTTTTCTAATGCATAACTAACTAAATTAAATGATTTTACTTTTCAAGTTTAGACGACATCTAATCAATGAAGTCCGACAATCAACTCATAAAATAAAAAAACCATTTTTCAATTGAGCTTGTAATTTTTTTCCTTACATTTTATGCTACTCATTATATACACATTTTAATATTATCATAGTCCTTTAAAAAAATCCTTACTTTAACAAGTGGAACACACGTGTCCAAAAACTAGTGACTAGAAAGGTGGAAACAAGACCAAATATAATTTGATCATTATAAACAAATTCAAAATCTTTATTTTGGTTATTGTTCCTCATATATATAGCTTTCTCTTCTCCTACGTCACCAAAAGAACAAAGCGTGAATGCAGGCAGCAATCATGTTGCTAGGAGATTGTGAATTTCCAAACGAAATACTTCGAAAACTAAGCAGGTTGTTCAATTGGATTACAAACTAAAGTACTATAAAATAAATCCAGAGTTATGAACATTTTCTATATAATGTATAAATAAATAGGAACAAAAATATTCTTATGCAATTTTGTGAATTTTAGGTCAGAATAAAGGATGAGTAGAGTAAGTTGAAAGTTAAATTGCAAATTACTCCAGTTATACCCATCACTATAAGAGAATGCTAACTCTGCAAAATATGTAACGGGGAGGGCTATCTTAGTAAGCAGAAATGAGCATGTTGACAAGCTAAATGAGAGGTTGATAGCTATGGTATCAGGTGAAAGCAAAATATTTATTAGTTTTGACTCTGCAGAAGATGACACAAATAATTATTATCAGGAAGAATATCTAAACAGTTTAACACCTAATGGTCTCCCCCGCATAGGTATTTTATCATATTATACATCATGATTTATAAACATATTTTGTTTCAACTCTATTTCTCTTTGTTTTAACTTATACATACAAACCTGAAAGCTGCAATAAAAAATGACTTTCCTTTAAACTTTTTTTTTTCTTATGTAGGTTAGTTTTGAAGGAGAATGCACCCATCATGCTACTCAGAAATCTAGACCCCTCAAATAGCTTATGTAATAGAACAAGAATGATATGTAGAGGCTTTGACAACAACGTTTTGCATGCAAAAATTATGATATGCCATTGTGCAACAAAGCATGTGTTTATTCCACGCATTCAACTTTTACCCCCAAAAAATGAAGGATATCCTTTCAAGTTCATTCGTAAGCAATTTCCATTTCGCCTTTGCTTTGCAATTACAATAAATAAAGCACAAGGCCAAACTATTCCCAATGTTGGCTTGTATTTGACTCAACATATTTTTTCGCATGGACAACTGTACGTTGTATTTTCAAGAGGGATATCAGTGTCCACATCAAATGTTCTCATTATGACAGAGCAACCAACACGTCGAAGTAGAACATATACCAAGAACATTGTGTACAAGGAAGTGTTAGGTACGATACGGGCATATAACATGTTTTCAAAGAATAATATAATTAATTAGATTATTTTCTATAATGTATAACTAACTAAATTAAATGATTTTACTTTTCAGGTTCAGACGACATCTAATCACTAAAGTCCGATAATCAACTCATAAAATAGAAAAACCATTCTTCAATTGAGCTTGTAATGTTTTTCTTTACATTTTATGCTACTCATTATATACACGTTTTAATATTATCACTATCTTTTAAAAATATCTATACTAAAAAACGTGGGACACACGTGTCCAAAAACTAGTGACTAGAAGGGTGGAAACAAGACATAATTTAATCATTATAAACAAATCCAAAATATTTATTTTGTTTATTGTTCCTCATATATATATATATATGGCTTTCTCTTCTCCTATGTCACCAAAAGAACAAAGCGTGAATGCAGGCAGCAATCCTGTTAATAGGAGATTGTGAATTTCCAAACGAAGTGCTTCGAAAACTAAGTAGGTTGTTCAAATGGATTACAAACTAAAGTACTATAAAAAAAATCCATAGTTATGGAAATTTTCTCTATAATGTATAAATAAATAGGAACAAAAATATTCTTATGCAATTTTGTGAATTTTTGATCAGAATAAAGGATGAGTAGAGTAATGTAACAACCCGACCGGTCGTTTTGGGCATTTGCACTTCGCTCGGTAGTTTGAGGGCATGGGTAGTTCCGTATGATGTATTATGACTTATGTAAATCGTCGGTTTTGGTTTTCAAGTTATTCGGAATCGATTTGGAAGAATGAATTTTATTATTTGAGCTTTAAATTGGAAAAGCTGACCAAGTCTGACTTTTGTGAATTTGACCCCGAAACAGAGTTTTGATGATTTCGTTAGGTCTGGATGTTGATTTTGGACTTGGGCGTATGCCCGGATTTGCATTTGGTTATTTCCAGAAGGATTCGGCGCTAATCGGTGAAAGTTGGAAATTTGAAGGTTTGGTAAGTTCATAAGCTTGACCGGGAGTTGACTTCAATGATATCGGGTTCGGATTGTTATTCTGAAAATTTGAATAGCTTTGTTATGTCATTTGGGACTTGTGTGCAAAATTTGGGTTCATTCTGGGTTGATTTGATATGTTTCGGCGCGAGTTTTGGAAGTTGAAAGTTGAAAGTTCATTCTAACTCGAATTGATGTGCGATTTATCGTTTCGATGTTGTTATGTGTAGACTTCGAATATGTCCGTATTATGTTATGGTACTTGTTGGCATATTTGGACGGGGTCTCGAGTGGCCCGAATGAGTTTCGGACCAGGTTCAGATCATTTTCGTTTCATGTTGCATTGCTAAAGGCTTGCTGGTTCTGGTGTTTCTGCATCTGCGGAAGAATGGATCCAGATGCGAGTCTGCAGATGCGGACAATTGGTCGCAAAAGCGAGGGAGAGCTTGGTGAGGAAAATCGCAGAAGCGAAAATTGGGGCGCATCTGCGGCCCCGTAGAAGCGATGGTCTTGGGTGCAAAAGCGAGATTGAGCGCAGAAGTGCGTTTGGCTTCACACCTGCGATTGCGCAGAAGTGGATGGAGATCCGCAGGTGCGAGGGGTCGACAGGCTAGTGGAGTCCGCAGAAGCAGAGCTCGTGTCGCAGAAGCGACTCTTATGTCCACAAAAGCGAAAATGACTTGGCATAAGCTTTAGATCGGGAGTTTGGTCGTTTTGTTAATATTTTGAGATGTGAAACTCGGATTGAGGCGATTGTGGAGGTAAATTTCATCACAAGGATTGGGGTAAGTGTTCTACACTCGGTTTTGATTATATTTCGTGATTGTATCTTCATTTTTGGTAATTGGGTTATGAGTTTTAAAGAGAAAATTGAGGATTTTAGCCTAAAGCTTCATAGAGTGAAATTTTGAGTTTTGAATGTCGATTCGGAGTCGGATTTGAATGAAACTAGTATGGTTGGGCTCGTAATTGAATGGGTTGTGAGATTTTGTAAGTTTTATCAGGTTCCGAGGTGCGGGCTCATGTTGGGCTTTTGGGTCAATTTTTGGGCTTTTGATTAAAGATCCGATCTATATCGATTGAGTTTGTTTTCTTTGGCGTAAATTGATATATTTGAATTGCTTGTGGCAAGTTTCGAGCTGCTCGGAGGTCGGTACGCGCGATATGGTATTTTTGGAGCATCGCTTGGCTTGTTCGAAGTAAGTAACACTTCTAAACTTGGTGATGAGGGTATAAAACCCCGAATTACGTGTTATGTGATTTATTTGGAGGTGACGCACATGCTTGGTAACGGGCGTGTGGGCGTGCACCGTAGAAATTGAGACTCAATCGATTTCGTAGAGTTGTGTAGTCAATTAACTTGTATTTTTCCATGTATTTTTCATGTGTTAGAGAAACTGAGATGTGACTCATGTTAGAAATCATGCTTAGGCAAATGCTGGTATTATTGGAACCCACTGAGGTCATTTCTACTATCGAATTATATGTTTAAATTATAATTTCATACTCAGTCATATACATTCATTGCATATCAAATCTTAATCTCAGTTGTTAATTATTGATACATCACATCATCATTTTAGGCTAGTTTCATGACATAGTGAGCCCGAGAAACTGGAGAGATTGATGACTGAGTGAGGCCGAGGGTCTAATTGTGATGTTAGTGATACTATAGCACGTGAGTTGTCCGTGCAACACATGAGTTGTCCGTGTGGATCCAGATATTGATACTATAGCACGTGAGTTGTCCGTGCAGCACATGAGTTGTCCGTTCAGATTTAGATATTGATACTATAGCACATAGGTTGTCCGTGTGGATCCATATATTGATACTATAGCACGTGAGTTGTCTGTACGGATCATAGCTCTTGGGCTGAAGGAGCCCCTCCGGAGTCTGCATACCCACAGTGAGTGCATGTACCTATTGAGTGCGAGTGCGAGTGTCGAGTGATAGGGAGGGATGAGTGGATTGATACTCTGAGAGTATGCATATGGTTGTTCACTATGTTGTACTGCATTCGACATGCGCACTTGACATGTAGGCATAAAGATGTACTTTTCCTCATGCCATTTGATAATGAAACATTTACCTGTTGAAAAGTTTTGGAAAGAAAATCACGATTTTACAAACTTACTCATATTTTGGTGCTCTCGGTAAAACATTTGGGTTTTCACTGTTATACTTGAAAAGCATGCCTATTTTTTCGGAACTGTGAACGAGCTGAACATTATATTTCTGAGTTATTTCCTGTACCACTTTTATTATACTGTTATGAGCTATTGTTGGCTATTGGTGTTGGACTTTGACCTTTTGTCCTAGCTCGTCACTACTTTCAACCTATGGTTAGTGATCTCATCTGAGTTCACACCTCAATTCAAGGTTATGAAACGGTCGATTGCAATAGTAATACCCAACAAGGAGTCGGGGTCGAATTGCACATGGAGCTATATGTGGGATTTAGGAGTATAAATTGCAGTGTATGAGTATGAACTATTTCAAATTGCACTTCCACAAACTTGGGTTGTTTCTAGGTTTAATTTAAACTAAGATTACAAACTAAGAATTTAAACTAGGAAATTGTTTTTGGTTGTTTTTAAATGATATAAAAGGCCTAGGGCTATGACCTTCACCTAGGTGTTCGCTTAATGGGTTGTAAGCCTTAAAGCTTGTTTAATTGGTCGGGGTGTATTATAGCTATCAACAATCAAGTACTCACTCGATACCTCTCAGTCAAAGAGTGATTTTGCCCAATTTGACTTTCTCAATTCCAAATGGGTATTGAACAAAGCAATTGATAATAAGATCAAGTCGGGTTTTACTATCTCTAGGTTCAACCCTTTAATCGAGCTTATCAATCTCTCGATTGACCCAATTTCTTGCTAGCCAAGTTTTTCTAGACTAAATCTCTCTTTCTCAAGTAGAGACCAAGTCGAATAGGCATGAAATAATGTATGCAACCATTAATTCTTCAAATTAAAGCAAGAACTATGCTAGATAATCAACACCCAACCATAAACAAGCAATAAATAAAACACCCATTAAGTTAACATACTAGGGTTGGGTCACAACGCTAGTGAGAATCTAGCTACTCATGCTTAAATTGGAAGAGAAAGAAGAAGAAGTGATGATTAAACCCATATTGATAATTAGAATAAAGAAATCTATGTTCAAAAGCCCAAATGGCAAAAACTACTAAAGAGAGTATAGAAAAACGACTAGTGTATCTGCTGATGTCAAAACTTAACCTAAAAAAGTAAAACTCTTCTATTTATACAGAGTTGGAATTTTCGGACAAAAATGCCCTTTCGGAGGTTCTGCGGTCGCATAATTCCATGTGCGGTCCGCACATTTGCTTCAACCTGACAGGATTGGAATCTTGCGGCTGCACAATTATGAACCGCGGCTGCATCTCTCTCTCTTTCTGTAGTTCGCACATTTCTGAGTGCGACCGCACATGGCTCTTTTGCGGACCGCACAAATGCAACTGTGGCCGCATAGCTGATCTTCGGCGGCTGCACAATAATTGTGCGATCCGCACTTCCGTTGACAGGTTCTCTGAACTTTTGCTCTTGCTTAGCTTCTGCAGCCGCACTTCTGATAGATCTATGATAAGTTCTTTTGCACAATCTGCGGCCGCAGATGATATTCTGCGGTCTGCACTTTAAGCTTCTATGTCTGTTTTTGTCCTTGAATTCAGATCACTCCTTCTTGAGTAAGATTTCATCTTGGAGGCTCATTTTCCAATATTCCTGCAATTAAGCATATTTCATTAGTTATTTTAGGAACACAATTAAACGCTTTTGGACTAAAACGAAAGCTAAAAGACACTAATAAGTAGTCAAAATCCCCACTTATCAATTCTCCCAAACTTAAGCTTTTTCTTGTCCTCAAGCAAATAAAGTAATTTCCACCTCCGCAAGTTAAGAGCTATTCCAACTAATCAAAGATGCATCAATCACACATCAATTGGGACCAACAATTATGCACAACACTTATGAATTATCAACAAGGTGATGAGTTGAGCTTTTAAGCGCAAATAGTTCTAATGTGACACTTGAGCATCAAGAGTCGACTTTATTCATCAAGGAAGCTCGCTCTTTCATGCAGGTCAATGTGGATCCCAAACTCCTCCTCCCCTAC